ATAGGCAGCATTCCTCCTCCTTCAAACACGGCGAGTTGAGTTGATGCCAAAGAGCTCCATTTTGTCTCATCTGATCACAACACTTTCACCCAGTTGTCCTCTGAATCATTCAGATGTTCATTGGCAAACTTCCGACGGGCATGTATATGTGCTTTCTTGAGCAGGGGGACCTTGCGGGCACTGCAGGATTTCAGTCCTTTACGGCGTAGTGTGTTACCAATTGTTTTCTTGGTGACTATGGTCCCAGCTGCCTTGAGATCATTGACAAGATCATCCCGTGTAGTTCTGGGCTGATTCCTCACCGTTCTCATGATCATTGCAACTCCACGAGGTGAGATCTTGCATGGAGCCCCAGGCCGAGGGAGATTGACAGTTTTTTTGTGTTTCTTCCATTTGCGAATAATCGCACCAACTGTTGTCACCTTCTCACCAAGCTGCTTGGCAATGGTCTTGTAGCCCATTCCAGCCTTGTGTAGGTCTACAATCTTGTCCCTGACATCCTTGGAGAGCTCTTTGGTCTTGGCCATGGTGGAGAGTTTGGAATCTGATTGATTGATTGCTTCTGTAGACAGGTGTCTTATGTACAGGTAACAAGCTGAGATTAGGAGCACTCCCCGTAAGAGTGTGCTCCTAATCTCAGCTCATTACCTGTATAAAAGACACCTGGGAGCCAGACATCTTTCTCATTGAAAGGGGGTCAAATACTTATTTCCCTCATTAAAATGCAAATCAATTTATAAAAATTTTGACATGCGTTTTTCTGGATTTTTTGTTGTTATTCTGTCTCTCACTGTTCAAATAAACCTACTATTAAAATTATAGACTGATCATTTCTTTGTCAGTGGGCAAACGTACAAAATCAGCAGGGGATCAAATACTTTTTTCCCTCACTGTACGTGACTTTACCGAAAGAACCATGGATCCTTGCAGTCACGAAAACTTCAAATCATGAATTAAGTCTTGGTTCGCTTGGAGAGAAGGCTCTCTTGGGTCGTGGGACAGACCCTGGTGCAAATGGGTTGACTTGACCGAGATGACCGTGCAGATGAACACCGTCTGTGCTACCCCACGGCATGGCTGTAAACCTATACGGTTTTACTCCGTGTTCTATTTAAGAGGGACAATTTGAGTGTTCAGGTCCATACGGAGTACAGCCGTTTACATTCGGGCCAAAATAAAGGCATTGTTTATATTTCTCCCCTTGTGATGGGACTTTGTAGGATGAGCGCTTAGGTTTATAAGGGGCACGGGGGTGACCAATACGGTCTGAATTGGTCTGTAATAAGGTAGGGTACTGATAAGGGGTTGACGGGTATGCAGATGCATCGGCTGTGCACCATCCTGTGCCAACTTTTGCTGCGTTTTATCAACCCGGCGCTTCCCGCTCGTTGTTGTGAGCGTCGCTCCTCTGCCCCCCGTCTCTTGTTGCTGGAGGGCGACTGCCTCCAACTTCCCAATAGCAGCAGCGTCCTTCACGAGCCTCATCCATTGCAATCCATCTGACACCGCTAGTGCCAGTCACTTAACTACTCGCAGTCTCCGTATTCTCTATTTTATTCAATTACTTGGTAGCTATTTAGATAATTGAGACATAAGATAACTCTCTGAAATATATTCTCGATAATCAAACGCGGTTAAAGGTCAACAACCACAGCGACAAATACGATGCCCTTTGATTGTTGTTAGATCAGTTTGTAAAATCGTTGGTAAAAAAAAATGCCCAACCACCTTAGGCCAAGAAGGGTGAGAGGAATGTTATACAGATGGGCGACATGGTACTTTCACTATTGACTTAAATAACGATGAATTACCATCTTCTCACACACCTCGTAAGCGAAGTAACTACCTTGTAGTTGCTCGTAATTGAAGCAAATAGGCAAAGTGCTATGTCACCCATCTTCATTACATGGTGTTTGGACATTTACCTACCGATTTTACAAAGTGATCTAACTGTGCAATCAAAGGTGCAACATGATGTGTGTGTGCGTGCTGTGGTTGACATTTACATGTGTGTTTTTATCGAGAATATCTTTGATAAAATATTTAACTGTATCTCAATTATCTAAGTTATTTAAAATGTTGGCGAAAATTTTAAGATATTCTAACCCAAGTGTTTTTTTTAAAGACATTGGCAAAAATCAAACAGCAGCAAATGTTCTATACACATGTACAGTATGCACATTCAGTTTTTTTGTAAAACCAATACAACCAATGACCTTTGTTCTTTGCCCTCAGTAATCTATGAGATAAACTTGCCTTACCCTGCTGTTTATTGACTGTTGGGTCTCACCAGTTCACATTTAAGCCCTCGGCAGTTCAGACTGAACAATCTCGTGCTATGACAGCCGTTTTGTACCTTTTGAAATTACATCGGTAGGATTTAGTTATCACCTGCACCTGGAGTATGTTGGAAAGCGTTATGTCATTTAGTTTTGTGATTACACTTTAAAGTATTTGTATAAATAAACTACTTGCGAGATGTTAACTACCTCGCCAGGTTTACAGGAGGTCGATCCCGACCCTGACGCCTGCTGTATAAAGTATTTGGAGTTTGCGTGTCTCCCCGCGGTAGTGTGGATTTTTCTCCGGATCATCCGGTTTTCCCCTCCACATGTAGAAATATGCGTTTAGATTAGTGGGTTGTTATACATTTCCAAATGATGATAAACCACTTCGTTGATCTATGATTTGTGGCCAGGTTGCTTCTGAAAAAAGAGCTATGGGGCCATCCATAAATGACGTCACGCGATTTGAAGCATGTTTTATATTTGGGGGGGGGGGGCAGAGCTTTGTGACGCCGTGTGACGAAGGGGGGGGGTCAAAAATCGTAAAAAATCGCGTGACGTCATTTATGGACGGCCCCTATATACACTGACAAAGAAATGATCAGTCTATAATTTTAATGGTAGGTTGATTTGAACAATGAGAGACAGAATAACAACAAAAAATCCAGAAAAACGCATGGCAAAAATGTTATGAATTGATTTGCATTTTAAGGAGGGAAATAAGTATTTGACCCCTCTGCAAAACATGACTTTGTACTTGGTGGCAAAACCCTTGTTTGAAATCAAAGAGGTCAGACGTTTCTTGTAGTTGGCCACCAGGTTTGTACACATCTCAGGAGGGATTTTGTCCCACTCCTCTTTGCAGATCTTCTCCAAGTCATTAAGGTTTCGAGGCTGACGTTTGGCAACTCGAACCTTCAGCTCCCTCCACAGATTTTCTATGGGATTAAGGTCTGGAGACTGGCTAGGCCACTCCAGGACCTTAATGTGCTTCTTCTTGAGCCACTCCTTTGTTGCCTTGGCCGTGTGTTTTGGGTCATTGTCATCCTGGAATACCCATCCACGACCCATTTTCCATGCCCTGGCTGAGGGAAGGAGGTTCTCACCCAATATTTGACGGTACATGGCCCCGTCCATCGTCCCTTTGATGCGGTGAAGTTGTCCTGTCCCCCTAGCAGAAAAACACCCCCAAATCATAATGTTTCCACCTCCATGTTTGACGGTGGGGATGGTGTTCTTGGGGTCATAGGCAGCATTCCTCCACCTCCTCCAAACTCGGCGAGTTGAGTTGATGCCAAAGAGCTCCATTTTGGTCTCATCTGACCACAACACTTTCACCCAGTTGTCCTCTGAATCATTCAAATGTTCATTGGCAAACTTCAGACGGGCATGTATATGTGCTTTCTTGAGCAGGGGGACCTTGCGGGCGCTGCAGGATTTCAGTCCTTCACGGCATTGTGTGTTACCAATTGTTTTCTTGGTGACTATGGTCCCAGCTGCCTTTAGATCATTGACAAGATCCCCCCGTGTAGTTCTGGGCTGATTCCTCACCGTTCTCATGATCATTGCAACTCCACGAGGTGAGATCTTGCATGGAGCCCCAGGCCGAGGGAGATTGACAGTTCTTTTGTGTTTCTTCCATTTGCGAATAATCGCACCAACTGTTGTCACCTTCTCAACAAGCTGCTTGGCAATGGTCTTGTAGGCCATTCCAGCCTTGTGTAGGTCTACAATCTTGTCCCTGACATCCTTGGAGAGCTCTTTGGTCTTGGCCATGGTGGAGAGTTTGGAATCTGATTGATTGATTGCTTCTGTGGACAGGTGTATTTATACAGTTAACAAGCACACTCTTAAATGGAGTGCTCCTAATCTCAGCTCGTTACCTGTATAAAAGACACCTGGGAGCCAGAAATCTTTCTGATTGAGAGGGGGTCAAATACTTATTTCCCTCATTAAAATGCAAATCAATTCATACAATTTTTGACATGCGCTTTTCTGGATTTTGTTGTTGTTATTCTGTCTCTCACTGTTGAAATAAACCTACCATTTAAAATACAGACTGATCATTTCTTTGTCAGTGGGCAAACGTACAAAATCAGCAGGGGATCAAATACTTTTTTCCCTCAATGTAGCTCAGTGGACCTTAACCTGTTAAAATATTTTTGTTAAATAATTTTAGTGTGCACTTGCTGGGGTTAAAATATGTTTTTCTTTGCTATTCGCGTTCAGTTAGTTACTCGTAAAAATCTGGTCACCAGCGCCTTGCTATGCAATGAATCGTAGTTCAGTGTTATTGTGGATTCAACACCGCACGGTGCAGTGCAGAGTACAATATAACTAAGCATTAATATTGTTCTAGACTTGTTTGCATAATAGAAGCACCAAGATTACTGGCTGAGAACCGCGCATCCGTTGATGCCATTGGGGGCCGCCCTTGCTTAAATGTTGGGTCGAACAATTCCAAAATAATGCCACAACGTCCAACCTTCATTGGGTGGGGGGTGGGGTGGTGGTGGTGGCGTTTAAAGACGCGAATGAATTTTGCCGTAGCAGCCTGTAAAACCCTGGGCGTTTCTTGTTCATGTTTTTTTTGTTTGTTGCTGTTGCACCCGATTCAAGAGCCGAATGGCTCACAGGGCTATACCAAATAAATGAACTATGAACTATGTGGGGGGCACGCCCATGCAAAGTCGAAGCGAGCAGCGGGATTGGGGCAACCACGCCCAGGATATGAAGTCACTGGGTAACATCGCAGCCCGCAACCCTTCAGCGATCAAGTTGTCCCGAGCCTCACTCGCATTTATCCGCAGAGGTCGGCGATTCCGTTGCTTCCGGCTCGTTTCCACGTGAGTCGATTTGCATTTTTACAGAACTCTTGTTTCGTCTTGCACGTTGTTATATATATATTTTTTACGTTGATAATTGTTGATGCGCAGTTTACATTTTGCGGTAATTACTGTGATTCAATACTGTCATTCTGCGTGCGGTTTGTTCGTCGTACAGTACATCTCACCCGTAACTCTTGAGTAAACGCAGTTTAGAACGTTGGTCCAACGTTCGCATCTAGTTAAAACCTTTGGACCAACGGTGAACCAGCAGCCAAAACGTTTCCCGTTTACTGGGCTTGGCTTCTCCCTGGTGGTCCGGGCTCCTATAGCGTGTCCTGTTGTTGTAGTTGTTAATAGGTGCATCGTGATTGCAGGCATGTATTCAGCACACGGAGGGATTTGGGCTTTGCTGCATGCCGTGATTTGGGGCGAGATATTCCAAGCGTGGTTTTTGTTGGCCCCACAGAGATGCGACATTTGAGGAATGCACAAGCCAATGTTGTGCTTCATGTGGCTCACAGCGCATCACGCAAAGAAACTTCACCCAAGTCTATATTTAAAGCTTCACCCAGTAACCGTGCAACATTACGCCATCGTTGGCACGTTGTTGGAACCAATTCTAGATTTGTTGGAACCTTTGGGCTAACGTTGCCCAAACATTGGCCCCCCCCTGTGTTTTTTTTGTTAACTAAAATATTACACGTTGATATGCAAGTTGCATAACACGTGGAAGAGAATACTAGACAGATTTTAAAGATGGATGTACAAATGTGCCCTAAAGATGTACAATATAGCAAGTACTGTAATCGTTATTTTTGGCAGTATGAGAAGAATAGTTTTGCATTGGTATTGCTCTTATATATCTTTATTGCTGTTAAACACGACAGGTAGCATTTCGAAAATTGTCACCATTACGCACATTCTATGGCAGCATTCGCAAAATGTAAAACATTTTTTTACAAAATAATGAATTGCAATTCTTCTGCTATGTGTATTTCCATATGAAACATCATCTTATCGATCACATTGAAGGTACGGTAATATTGACCCTGCACTGTTTCCATTTCTGTGCCGTGTACCTGTTTGCAGGACGTTTGAAAAAAAGGCGATAAGTTTACGGCGGTCTTGGTAGCAGAATCAAAAGGACATCTTCATTGCACTTAGTACGGCTGGGCAACGTCTTCACTGTGAGTACAGGGCTAGAGTAAAAACAAAAAACTCTTAGCTAGAACCATTTTAAAAAAAACAAAAACACCACAGCCCGAAATTAAATGATGACGTTGGTTATTTTTTCATCCACTTGTAATCCAAGTGTGCAGCTCCAGGTTCGGCTGCTTGTTGAGAATTTTCTTCTCTCAAACTTTCACCGCGCAAGACTGCGGGCATCTACAACTCTTCAGAGGATGCGTGGCAAAATCTTGATGGTTTTAGGATGTGCTCAAGAACGTGGTCAAATCTGGTAGAGACCACACTTGGGGCTACAGCGAGAACATTTTTCGCTTAACATTGTTGCTTTAAGTTGTCCTTTCCCGCTGCAAAGAGCAACAGCATATGGGCCGCATAATCCTTATTACCAGGGCGAATCATTGGATCTAGCTCTGATTTGGTTGGATTTTTATATTGTGGAGATATTCAGGGAAGTCGTGTACTAATATACGCAACTGCGCACAATTCTGTGAGTCACTTATAACTGCTTTGCCGTTACTTATTGCCAATTGTGGACTCAGATGAACGTCCTATCATCTCATAGAGTCCTTGGCAGATAATAATATGATACACAGCGGCAGTGGGGGTCGCAAAATGCCGATTTATCTCTATATAAAAGGGACATTTGTGAATGTGTGTTTGTTCGAAATGTTGAGCATACTTTCCAACATGGAACAAACTTGAAATTTGGCATGTGGGTAGCTTCCAGACTGTACACATTGCAAAAAGTATAAAAAATTAACTTTTGTATTTTGGGGGGGGGGGGGAAATGACCATGAAGTGTGTGGCGTCAACCCGCATACAGGACTAGCGATAATCGATATCTGGTGAGCGTTTGTTGTATCGATTAAATGGGAATAGGCCGATTCTAAAGAAATGTGCAACCTTCGATTCCTTTGCGCGATTTAAAGAATCGAATCTTGGCACGCAAGCGTAAGTTATTTTTTTTCCACCGCGCGTTGGGTTTAATTGTAATTAATGAGGTAATGATCAAAGTTTTCTTTACATTTGTATATGTTATGTTTTCAACTTTTGAGAAGTTTTTAAATATATTTTTCCCCCGGGCAATGCAGGGTACTTCCCGCTAGATACTAATAAACCCCAATGATCCGATCGAAATTAGGGATTTCGATCTGATCATTGGGGGGGCACGTGCCACCCCCCCCCCCCCCCCACCACTGGCTCCGCCATGGATGTAAGAACTTAGAAAAAAAATAATGGCAGGGAATTCCAGAGACTAGCGGTGCAAAAGGGAAGCTGTGTGAAGAGAGTTGTTTTGACCTGCAGTGTGGAGGATCAACGCAGTGTGGATTAAGACGAAACAACCTGTCCAAGAGCTACAACATTGTACATTGCAAAGATATTGGCTGGAAATCTTTTCGAATTGTCAACTGCTCTTTGGCATTTGGCGAGAGACATGTACATCAGACATGTCTAGAGACATGTACATCAGATATGGGCCTGCTAAGTTGGGTTTAAAAACAAAAATCTAGTCACTGGCCGACGTTTTTTTCTTTACCAACGTGCATGCCTCTGACCAGATTCCCAAAAATTGGTCTCATTTGGTTCCCCAATATATTTTCAGATTGTACCGTGGATTGTTCGGCATGACGTTCGACACGATATGTCAACTCTTTGTTCCACGTGCTGAGGGCTTGTTCAGGAGCACTGCTGTTCCTGAGATGTTCTGTTCTGGGGAAGCTCCCAGCACGTGGAACTGAACGTCGAACGTCGTGCCGAACAACACGCACTGCATCCCGAAGATGCATTGGAGCCGTCTAGAACAACCGCGAAAACCCACGCAGTCGTGTGTTTATATTCTTGGTTCTTTCGGTAAAGTCACGTGAGAATTTAATTGTTTTATATTTTTATTACTGTATTGTTTCCCTTCTACGTGACTTTACCGAAAGAACCAAGAATATGAATCCCTGCAGTCACGAAAGCTTTAAATCAAAAGTCGTGTTTTTGTTTGATTTTGATTAGGGGAGGCATGTCGACTTTTCTGACGCTCATTAACTAACACTAAATCCACCATTTGTTTCAGATTTTTGAAGACTGCAGCATTCCCAGTCATGTACATTCTCCTTCTCGCTCTGCTACCGATAGTGGCCGTGGTGGTGTACTTCCGCTCACGGGAGCGCAATGTCATCGACAACACCACGGACAAGTATGTGTTCATCACCGGGTGCGACACAGGCTTCGGGAAGTTACTGGCCAAGCGCCTGGACACCCGCGGGTTTCACGTGATTGCCGCATGCTTTACGGAAGAGGGGCAGAACGCCATCAAGGCGGAAACCTCTCAGCGACTAAAAACGGTCAGCCTGGACGTGACAAATAACGAAAGCGTGAAGCGAGCTGCCGAGGCCGTGCAAGAGATAGTCGGCGACACGGGTGAGTCAAAGCGTTGTTAAAGCGAAATTTACAGCTGGGTGTGACAGGCGAAGGATTTTACGCATGGATTTTTGTTACTGTGAAAGGGATTTTCATATAGAACTCTTTCGATGGTGTGAACTTTGTTATTAAGTGAAACAGGGAGTATACATCGTGTGTAAGTATGCGCAGATTCTGTGACGCTTTAAAAAAACTTGCATTTGTCCAGGGAAATTGTTTTGTTTATTAAATGCCTACGACCTGCCATGACAAGGATCAGAATCACGGATCTCCCCACGATTGACAGAAAAAGCAGACCATCATCCAGCAGTGGTTTTACAAAGGACTGTAAATTATTTATATTACAATCATTCAGAAAGAAATGAAATATAGTTTACAGTCATATTGCTCTTAAATAAAACCACATCTCAAGATGCTGAACAGAGAGAGAGGCAGTCCGTTATATGTAAAGGAAGAAAAAAGTCTCGTGCCCAGGTTTGAGTAGGGGCAGGGAGTCGACAGCACAGATGGCAGGGGAAGTCAACTTTGCGCAGCCCAATAAGCACCGATGTCACATGCAATGGACACGTCGAGGTGCATGTAGATGACGTGTTGACAATGTGTTTCAGTTGTGTAGTGAATCCAACTGAGTCGCAGACGTTAACTCGGGAGCAACACTATTTATTCAACACAACAGGCCCAACATAACATAACCTACGCTCGGGTCTCGAATGTCCCATCTAGCCACGCTATGCCAGAACTAGACACGGTTCGCTATCCCGGTCCGGACCACCAGCTGGGTCCCGGACCGCGTGACTCGAGGCTTCTACTCCTCCCCGACGTGGATCTTAGAACACCAACACTTGAAGAACCCCGAGCTCCTCAGGGAGCTCTCGTTATATGCTCCCGGGCTGGGGCTGGGGCTGGCTCCGACCATAGCCCCGCCCACCTTCCAGGCTCTTCGGGCCCTTTCTCGAATGTTCCCAAGAGCTCTCTGGGACCACGTGACCGCCCCTTGGCCCCCGTCCACCGTTGGTCCCTCTGACACTGCTCGCGATGCCTTCGCGCTAACCAGCGCTCACCCAACCACCGCTCGTGTCAGTACCTCAGCCCGCAACCCGGCTGCCCGCAATGACAACATCACCGGCCGTGACATCACAAGTCCTGGCACCACACAGTGAGAAGAACAGTCACTACAGTTGCACTGACATCCCTCAAAATGAACTAATCATCAGCACCCACCCCTGGCGCTGCTGATCACCAAGCCATATTCAAATGTCTTGCCGGCGTGTCTCGTTTTGGTTCAGGGTCTGCTGGGAAAATAGTGGAACACCACCCTTACTGTAAGGCAGCGGTTGCCCAACTAGCGTCTCCCAAGCCGCATGCGGCTCTTTAATCCACCACATGCGGCTCTATCGAAGGGGCATCACGTAGGACATGCTGTCTCGAAAACTGTCTATATATACACACTTATATATACACTTGGCTCTTTGGCTCTTGATCTGTTATAGGTTGGCCACCCCTGCTGGAAGGGATCCGGTACTGACTTGGCTCGGATGTGCCAGTGGAAAAGGGATATGAGCGGCGGGCGCTGTTTTGCCCCTGCACATTGTTTATCGTGACGAATTGTATCGTGTGCAGGACTCTGGGGCCTGGTGAACAACGCAGGCGTGTGTCTTCCCGTCGGCCCCATGGACTGGCTGACGATAGAAGATTTCCGCCCGTGCATGGAAGTGAACGCAATGGGTTTGGTGGCTGTGACGCTCGCTTGCCTACCCATGCTCAAGCGTGGCCGTGGCAGGGTTGTGAATATAGCCAGTGTGATGGGCCGCCTGGCTTTAGGCGGAGGAAGCTACAGCTTGTCCAAATTCTGCGTGGAGGCCTTCTCCGACATACTGCGGTGAGTTAGAAAAGTATTGTTACAGGCAACTAGGGTTGTCGCAATATGGCGATACTAATGATTTATCGCACGATATAAGATCCACGTTGATCACATTGATGAGACAATTAATGAGTATAAATGCTGAATAAGGTAATTTAGTAATGCTCTTCGAGACTGTGCATTGTACTGAGGAAGACCAAAATATTTGTTGACCGCACATATAGAAAAAGATTCACTGATTGACTTACTTGACAATGTGGAGGGAGAGTGCAATTGAATTGCCCGCTCCTTGCAAAATGAAATCCACGGAATAAGAATTGACTCATTGCACGTAATACGAGTGTCATTTTTGAGAACAAAAATAACAGAATAAGCAAGCAAGACGATATGTCTCCGTCACATATCTGTCTCTTCAGAGAAAAAAAAAATAAGTTTTTCTTACACAACCCATTAGCCCGCACAGCCTTCTGGGAGTGCATAATTTTAGCAGTATTGTATCAAGCGCCTTGAAATGAGGCAGGCACTATATCAATTTAAACAAGATAAAACAAGCAGACTCGACTTATAGTGCCTCATAAAGTCAGACTTGCTTGAATCAATGCTGGTTGAGCTACCGATCTTTACAAGGCAGGGAAGCTTCGCTTTACAATATGGGTCGTAGTTTTATGCAAAATTATACAATACATATATTCCATAGGTTGACATCGATTATACTAAGACAATGACTACATTAAAAAAATTGCTGACTAAATTAGCACTCCTTACCTTTTGCAAGTCGTTCATTTCAATTAATTGGCTTCCTATTATTTTGCTGCATTCCATCAGACTAGAGCTGGACAGTAATCAAAAATTGCAATACTCAATTCACTACTAGCTTAGTAAATATGAATTGTGAATGAAATTATGTCTGCGTGCGTTTTAAAATGCATGTTAGTATTTTGTATGTATATTAACATAGATTGTTCTGCACAATGCAGGAGAGATGTCCGAGTGTTCGGTATTAAGGTCATCATTATCGAGCCAGGCTTCTTCAAGACAAACCTCACCGATGAGAAGAAATTTAACAAGAGCTTGCGTGACATTTGGGCAACACTTCCCAAAGACACCAGGCACCAGTATGGGGAGGACTTCATTGAGAAAGGTAAATGTTTTATGTTTTCAACGTTGCTCCTGCTGCCACTGTTTTTCATCCACTGCACGTTGTGTCTGCTGAGCACACATTTTGGCCTGTACTCCTGTAGCTAATGGTTGTCCAGTGTAATCCATGTCGTTTGGCGTGATGTCTGACGTTTCAGTCTACACGCTGGGAGCTTCTTCAGGAACGGTTCAGTTCCGAGAAGATTCTCCCAGCACTTGGAAGGAACATTTTGGTTCCTCTAGTAGCGATGTTTTAGGAAAGTTATAAATGAGATTTAACAATATGGTTGCGTTTTTGTTTATTTCAAGATAAGACCCCCCCCCCCCCAAAAAAAAATTCAATGTCCTATTTAGGCCCTCCAAATCTGGTGGACACAATTTCAAAATGTCCTTGTTTTTCATGTTCCCAAATTTTTGTGGTACAATAGAAATAAAAATATATTCGTTTTTAACCAAGGTCAGTGAAAATTTAAATCTGAATGTTTAGTAAGGTTTTGAATCCTAATATGATATCTTGTTTTGACCATTTTTTTTTACCTTTTTGTACATTTCGTAATTGTTCATGTTCCAATTCAATACATACCAGTATTTCTATGCATTTCTCTCAGTGACGGATGCCAACACGAAGAACTTAGGAAAGCTTCTGGACACAGACATTTCCAAAGTTCCCATCGCTGTGGAGCGTGCACTCACATCGGCGCTCCCCTTCACCCGCTACTCCGTCGGATGGGATGCCACGCTGTTCTGGTTGCCATTATCGTACGCACCCACAGTTGTGATTGATTACCTTCTCACACGAGAGTACATAAAACCTGCCAACGTTTAGACTAACTTAGGCCAAGGACCGATGTATTCCTAATTCCAATACCGTTGACTAAAATTTGTTTTCTTTTTATTAATTGTAACCTTTCCTAAATATATCCCAATTGTGCTTTTGGCGCCATGGCATTCGATGAAGTATCCATTTTGAACTCTCGCTGAGCAACTCAGCCAGCTATGTTAGAGAATGGCCCACAGAAGCGAATATTGCACAGCTGCCTCTGCTATCCCTTGAAAGTGACCTCTTGGTCCACACATGGTAGAGGGGAGCACTTTCCCACCCGTTCTGCATAAGAGAGTAACGTGCGTGGCATGACAGTAAAACTGATAGTTTAATTTTGAGTGCTGCAATTCAGTCAAATGTAAGTGTAGAAACAAATTTGTTGTGATGTATTTGTGTGCAGCCCCTTGGTGACTGGGCTGAGATCATAAACTCCACACCCGTGAGAACCTGGAGACCAAAATATACTTTTACAGAATTCAAAAACAAATTCGTGGTGATGGGTTTATTTACTCCGTGACATTTCCTTGATTTGTTGACACAGGGACAAAAGTATTCCTGTAGCATATTTACCATTCAGTAATTACCAACACAGGCATGGTTGAACGATGAAGGCCTCCCCCACGCTGTCAGAGGTTGTTTGACTATACTTCACCACGTTGGTCAGTGCAAGTTAGGGCTGTCCAGAGAGGGGAGGACAAACGGGGCATTCTGGCCAGGGCCTCAAACAAAAGAGGACCCGACAATGGGCCTTTCCAGTTGAATAATGGGGCCCTATGTGGAAATTCTTCCCTGGGGCCTCCAGGAACCACTTGATGGCTATGTGGCTTTGTAATGGGGATGCCCAGGATCAATTTAGCCCTACGCTCGCCACGGATGTTAGCTGTGGTCAGGAATAAAATCAAACTCTTGAGTTGCCAGATTTCTGAGCGCCGTGCTATGACCGCAGCAGCAGCAGCACTGCTCCACCTCCGTACAGATACGTTGTATAAAACTGTTGATGGTAATTTGTCACCTGGAAATTATTTATTTGTTACGGTTTTTTCGGCTTAACTTTTGTTTAAGTCTAAATGTGAAACAGGAATTTCAGCCACCATGTTGACATTATTAAACAAACAATTACATTTTTTTGCCATGTAAGCAAAATATCACTTAACACTGCTTTGTATGCCACTGCAAACATATGCAAATATGCATTGGAATATTCTTATATCACTCAAAATAAAGTTTGAAATTAAGTTTCCGCTCCATATTGTTGACCTGTTCAAGCGTGACTTTCCGCACCGTTTTCTCTGCATTATAAGATGGTAAGTGATTTGCATTGTTAGATTTATACAAATATGGTCAAACACATAATGCACACCTAACGGATTATAAGACGCTCCCAAATATTTATTTGAAACCAGGGAAAAAAGTGAGTCTTGATTTTAAATTGTTCGTAAAAGAATGTAGTCGTGCTTAATTTTGTGCGTTTTTCACCGGTTCCATATTCACTGTTTTTTTAGGTAAAGTCACGTAGGTAAAAAATGAATCCTTGCAGTCACGAAAACTTCTAATCTAGAATCGGTTCCATATTCATTTAGAACCATGCGTTTTAATAATTTAAATTATTTTGCTACTATAAATGTTCAAATGACAAGCCACTTTATTGAGCTATCATTTGTGGCCAGGTCACTTTTGAAAAACACGTTAATACCTCAGTGGGTTTTGTCTGGTAGGATCGGGTTGGTTTAGTTGTATGCGTATGTGTTTGGTTAATTTTTGACTTTTCTTGTACTTTGTACTGCGATCATGTTTTTGTATTGTAACGTTCTTACCTGCCTCGACTGGACATCTGTGAAAAAGAGTTTTATAGCTCGTCGGTTCCTCCAATATTATTACATATTCTGATATAACATGTAAACTATGTACTAATAGTTGCTATTTGTACAGCAACCTACGTAGCCAAGATTGTAACTAAGATCTGTTCTTATTCTTGGTTCTTTCGGTAAAGTCACATAAATAGAAAACGAAAAAAAATGAAAATGAAAGCAAAAAAACCCCACGACGTTTCGATTGTAACACAAGCGGTCTTCATCAGGCGGAGAGAAAAGAGGGGAGCAAGCCTCCAAATGTAGCTGCTTATAAGGAAGGGTTCCAAAGTGAGTGGGCGACGGAAAGGGCTGCGCTAACAACACGAGCTGCGGTAGCAGCGCGCTAATGCAGTAGCAACACAAAGGGGGAGTTGGGTGGAGTGAGCTTGTGCAGCGCAAACGGCATGGGCGGGGCAGCCAGTAGCAGACAATGGGGGGAGGAAAGGGCAGAGAGAGGGGGTGGGGCAGAGATAGGGTGGGGAGGGTAGAGATGTGGGGGGCATTGCACCTCGCTACACCTATCCACACTGCTGACGGTAGAGGCTTACAATCAAGTCATCACGCAAAGTGGTTGATGACATTTCCAATGATTGCTGAGTTTAAAATCGTCGTCTCGGTTGAAATTGTGTCTGTATATATATGATGGCTTCGTGAACGAATCTTTGTTGATAGCCAGTCGGCTTGCAAAGTACCATCGTCTTAGAGAAATACATTTCATGTGAGCCAGCCGCATTAAAGTAATGATCAGCCACGGCAGAGGTATTGGTCCTGCCGTTTTTCAGATCTGCCTTATGTTCACGGACACGGTCCGAGACATGTCGTTTGGATTCCCCAAATGTAACTGCTGCCGTAGATACAGCTTAGTTTGTAGACGCCGAGATATTGCATGTCAGGAATCTTGTCCTTCACAGATGGGACCAGGTCACGAATTTAACGCTGCACAAAATGGTGACAACCCTTCAGGTTTGCGGACGATATTTGACTCAAGGGTCAAATAAATATCGTATGTAATAAACACTATATAAGTGGACGACGCAAACTTTACACACCTGTTACTCCACGCAATTTTTTTTAACCCGTCCTATCAGCAGCATGGGCTACAGGGTGCATTATTTACGCAGCATTCAAGACGAGCAAAACTCTGCACTTATTGGATGTGTAAAAAAAACAACTTGTGGTTTTTAGTGGACAGACAGATATGTGAAGAATGCAGATGTAGTAGTTCACAGTCAGAGTCAAGGACTTATCTTTCCAGCATAGAGTTGTCTATACAATTATAATTTCTATGGCATCTACATGTAACCGCATCTCGAGGCGCTGTAAAAAAAAACGGTGCATATTTAGACTCCTATTTCAATAAAACTTTTTTTTATATGGAAAGGACTACAGATATGTTTGTCAATGGTTTATTAAAAACGTAACATTCACAGCACAAACGTCGACGCACTTGATATTGTACTTTCGTGAATATTCAAGTTACGTGTAATGCAGGCTTCACGTTTGCGTCTCGTTTCCTGCAGCTGAACAGCCAGGCAATGGTACAACCTGCATCCGAGGGAGTTTTTTTTTACTGTGGAGTTGACCCTTTTTTTCTCAAAATATATGGCTAACTGATGCCCCCTCCTTCTGAGTGGCATGAAGATCGTGTTGATCTTGTAATAATATTGTACGGTCTCCAACTCTTATTCACTATAGCTCTCCGGCCTATCTATCTGTATGTGTGTGGTGCTATGAAGATGGGCCATCGCTCAAAACGTTGCCTCTTAAGTATTTGTGCACCACTGGCAACACAGCATCACCAAAATAATTTGCAATGAAAAAGTGGGTTCCGGTCCTGACCCACGATGAGCATGGAGATTTGCCATCACATAAACACAACTCTTTTGCAACTGGCAAGACAGCGTTTGTTTAAAATAATGTGATAGATAGTAAGTGTGAAATGCTATATCTCCAACTTAACTTGTTTTGTTTAACCATGCGAGAACTCCAGAAACCAGGATGAGTCACATTTGCAAGCAATGACCTGGGTCATGAGTCTTCCAGTGGGACAAATCCATTGCCATGTACGGGACTCCTCTGCTTACGAATATTTGACTTACGAACAAACCTGTCCGTATGTCCAGTTGCCTGTACGGACCGCGAGGCGTAAATTCAACCGCCGCGCAATAGATGGCGGTGGTGGCATCTACATCTGTAAACCATGACGAACCAGTGGCATCTACAGATTATGTACATGTTAAAGCCATTCCCCGTGTTTAGTGTGCATGCCGTACAACATTTTGGAATCGACAGGAGTAAAAGTTAGACTAAAAAAGCAAATCGACTTGCGTACAGACCTCTGGAACCTAACTCGTTCGTAAGTAGAGGAGTGCCCTGCTAACCCAAACCACCTGCCGCTTATGAACTTTATGACAGAACTAATATAGTGGGTGCCGTCACGTCACGGCCATCATCATTTATCTGTGTATCCTCCAAAGTTCTGCAGAAAACTGGACAAATCACGGATCGCTTGCACATTGCAAATCATCTTACGGTCGTGAAAGATGATTCTCATCGTGTGTAAGAATTCTTCATCATTGGTGCAGACGAAAGGCCAGTGTATATTTACGTGACTAGAGACCGATCAAGTGAGCTAGAACATTCGAAATAGACAATACAAAGTAGACGGTTATACACAAGGCAAAACAAGACGAATCTTATTCCATTGAACCGTGACCCCAATTCACAATTCATCAAATCTCTGGGGATGAGAAAACCTGCCTCGCCCCTGCAGCTAAGAGGATCCCACAGATAATTGGTCAGACTAAAGACAATTTACAATCGATTACAAGTTTGGGTTTTATACCTTTGTATGTTAACAACAAAATAGTAATGTGTTGCCCAACGGATGGAGGGATATTGTTAGACCAGATCCGAAGTCGCGAGGTCGTTCAGCTGCTGGACAGCACCTACTGGATCTGGAGGAGAGTCGATCACGTCCGCAAAATTGGAAAGCATCAGCGGCTCCTTGCAATGGTTCCATGCAATGTTTTCCACCGTCTTTGTGAAGTTAAAAAAACACTACACTCTGCCGCCTTAGTCTAAATTAGGTAACAGAAATGCGGTGGCAAAGCTTAAGAGTGTAACATACACATATACTGCACTGTACTTTCCAACCAATTGTTACCACTTAGTATAAAGTATACACAACCACATGCACGGGCACGTAATGCATATACGTTCACGCACACAGGATATTATACCCATGACATCAAAATTGCTATCATATACATATACGTGTATATTTTAATATGCTAAAACTGTGAAAATGTAGGTGATTTTGTTATGCAACGGATACAAATTAATTTTTAGTGTAAGTTATTACGCAACGTTCACCATTTACAGGTTTTGTTTTATTTTTAAAGAATAATTGTTGAAGCCTTTTTTTAATAACTGCAAAACGTGAGTGCTGCATTGTACGAAGTGGCGATTGGTAATACTTTACTGATTTTACGACGGGCGCAGCAATAGTCTAAATGAGTTTATGAACAAAAGTTAAATTGAACGAGCGAGTTAAACTTAAGTGTCGTAAATGGACATTGTTATTGCAACACAGTAAAAGCACATGCTTTTTTTGTTTGTTTGCCGGTGCAAATCCACGAATATTTCTTTCACAGTAAACCTTCACCTGACCACTACTACAAACAAATCCAATACTGCAGACTTAACCTTGCCTCACAGGTACAGTGAGGGAAAAAACGTATTTGATCCCCCGCTGATTTTGTACGTTTGCCCACTGGCAAAGAAATGATCAGCCTATAATTTTAATGGTAGGTTTATTTGAACAGTGACAGACAGAATAACAACAAAATCCATAAAAACGCATGTCAAAAATTGTATAAATTGATTTGCATTTTAATGAGGGAAATAAGTATTTGACCCCCTCTCAATCAGAAAGATTTCTGGCTCCCAGGTGTCTTTTATACAGGTAACGAGCTGAAATTAGGAGCACACTCTTAAAGGGAGTGCTCCTAATCTCAGCTTGTTACCTGTATAAAAGACACCTGTCCACAGAAGCAATCAATCAATCAATCAGATTCCAAACTCTCCACCATGGCCAAGACCAAAGAGCTCTCCAAGGGTGTCAGGGACAAGATTGTAGACCTACACAAGGCTGGAATGGCCTACAAGACCATTGCCAAGCAGCTTGGTGAGAAGGTGACAACAGTTGGTGCGATTATTCGCAAATGGAAGAAACACAAAAGAACTGTCAATCTCCCTCAGCCTGGGGCTCCATGCAAGATCTCACCTCGTGGAGTTGCAATGATCATGAGAACGGTGAGGAATCAGCCCAGAACTACACGGGAGGATCTTGTCAATGATCTCAAGGCAGCTGGGACCAATCTCACCAAGAAAACAATTGGTAACACACTACGCCGTGAAGGACTGAAATTCTGCAGCGCCCGCAAGGTCCCCTTGCTCAAGAAAGCACATATACATGCCCGTCTGAAGTTTGCCAATGAACATCTCAATGATTCAGAGGACAACTGGTTGAAAGTGTTGTGGTAATATGAGACCAAAATGGAGCTCTTTGGCATCAACTTAACTCGCCGCGTTTGGAGGAGGAGGAGGAATGCTGCCTATGACCCCAAGAACGCCATCCCCACCGTCAAACATGGAGGTGGAAACATTATGCTTTGGGGGTGTTTTTCTGCAAAGGGGACAGGAAAAAATTCACCGCATCAAAGGGACGATGGACGGGGCCATGTACCGTCAAATCTTGGGTGAGAACCTCCTTCCCTCAGCCAGGGCATTGAAAATAGGTCGTGGATGGGTATTCCAGCATGACAATGACCCAAAACACACGGCCAAGGCAACAAAGGAGTGGTTCAAGAAGAAGCACATTAAGGTCCTGGAGTGGCCTAGCCAGTCTCCAGACCTTAATCCCATGGAAAATCTGTGGAGGGAACTGAAGGTTCAAGTTGCCAAACGTCAGCCTTGAAACCTTAATGACTTGGAGAAGATCTGCAAAGAGGAGTGGGACAAAATCCCTCCTGAGATGTGTGCAAACCTGGTGGCCAACTACAAGAAACGTCTGACCTCTGTGATTGCCAACAAGGGTTTTGCCACCAAGTACTAAGTCATGTTTTGCAGAGGGGTCAAATACTTATTTCCCTTATTAAAATGCAAATCAATTTATAACATTTTTGACATGCGTTTTTCCGGATTTTTTTGTTGTTATTCTGTCTCTCACTGTTCAAATAAACCTACCATTAAAATTATAGACTGCTCATTTCTTTGTCAGTGGGCAAAGTACAAAATCAGCAGGGGATCAAACACTTTTTTCCCTCACTGTAAATGTTCAAGTTGTACCTCGCATAGTTCGGCACCAATGTCCGGCGTATGTATGTTAAACTAAGACTACAATTATTTTTTTCAAACTTACCAGGTAAGAACCACTTGAGCTACATAGCTCTTTATCAGAAGCGACCTGGCCAAATATGAAAGCTCAACGAAGTGGTTCATCGTCACGTGGAAATTCACAGCAGCCAAATATTCGAAACGCGTGCCGTTGATTCTAAATGTGGAGAGGAAAACCGGAGGACCCGGAGAAAAATCCACGCGACTGCGGGGAGAGAGACACCGCAAACTCCAATATACAGCGAGGTGTCAGCGTCGGGATCGAACCCACGCCTCCTGTATACCAGGCGAGGTTGTTAACATCTTGCCACCGCGACGCCCCCATGGTCGTCCTGGGAGCTTATTGCTTCAACCGGATTGACTCCTAACACGCGGATTAAAACGTCGGACATCGTTTCGAACAACGCGCAGTATAACCTGAAAAGACATCGGAAGAGCTTTCACAGCACAACCGCGAATCCCTACGCAGCAGTACTGATTACCTTACTCCGACAATCTAAGAATAATGTGACCTTATTTTGGTTAAATGCAACTGCGAATTTTGTAATATACAGCCAATGTAACAATGTTGTGCTGTTAATTTCCCCCCCCCCCCAATATTGACCCCATAGCTTATAAAAGTCTGAAAAGTAAACACTGCAACCGATGTGTGTATTTAATGGCGTGTTAACAGTGTGAATGTCGAGCGTTTATACAATGCCGACAGTTAATGCCTTCCACATATTTGTTTAAGACAATGTGCTTGGATAATTCTGTGCTCATGTGTTCAGCACTGCGTCATGCCATAATGTTTTTACGTAAACACACAAGTAGGTGGCAGATAAGGAGCCTCGAACAATAGTATTGAAATAAATAGGGAGTGTGTTTAATCACCATGAGGAACATTAGGTTTAATCCATCAGCCGTATACGCCTTCACAATTAATGTGTATCAATTGGTGGCCGGGTGGATACGATGTCAGAGCCCTAAGCCAGCACTGCCGAATTCAAATCCACGTTTCAGCCGCCCGCAATTAAACTGCGTTGCCAATTGCTCCTAGTTAAATGGTCTCGGGGTGGTTCACCAAATGACCGCACACGAACGAAATTACGTTGCGTGCTGTTAACTTACATTTGTCCAAGTGCAGCAGCGTCCACAAAATGTGGACCAATGTGAGTTCCCCCCCCCACCAATAAAAAAAACCGAGGCCACGCAAGAATTCCGAACAGACATTTCTTCATCCCGTGGGCGAGGGCTAAAGAACGTGATGGCGGACGTGATATACTGGAACACAATTTGGACAAAAGCGTGTGTCGCGGTCATACCTCTTTAATGTTCGCTCGGTTTTCGTCCAACAACGAGATGCGTCGGTCGAAGCTCCGACGCCACCGAAGAGCGTACCAACGAGATGTGGTCAGAAGTCAAGTAAGATCCAGAAGGCCGATAGGCTGATGGTCTAAATGTTAATTCCACAAACCCCTCGCCCGCTTGCTGGATTTAACAATTGCGCAGTTTTCCATTGTGATCTGCTGGTATTTTAGTGTTTTTACTACAAAAAAAATTGCTAGTAAGTAGGGTTGCCGCGATGTAATTTTTGTGAAACGATATGATATACATTTTTTTATGATATGACGATTATCTAGATATTAGTTCGCCATAAGTTGTTAATTGTATTTCACATATTGTGTAACGTCTGTGTGCTTTGCTGTACTTCCAGTTGGAATAGAAATTGCTTAACTGAAGTTCACTCAACGTACACCTGCCATTGAAAATTCTAATCGTGGTAAACCATTACGACGCTTTTTAAACGCACGTGCTGTCATACAGGTGAAAAAAACACATTTCAAAGAAACTAAGAAAATTATGACGTTGTATAATCGCCATCCATGAAATACCCTGGAACACATTTAGCAAAGCACTGATGAAATGGGTAATACCTGTTTATTTTGAACTTGATGATTGTGCTTTTCATGTTTCATAAATATTTTGCAGGAAATTAAATGATCACGCACAGCCGTATTTAGTCAAACCAACGATACGATTATTGTGGAGCTTATATTGAACGCTCAATTCCAGCAACGCAGCAACCGTACTAGTTCATAAAGCATTGTGCTTTTGCTGAAAACGTGGCAAGCTATGCCCTTACAATTAAACTACGTGGACCTTCTATCACCACAGACTATAATAAGTGAATTTTGTTGAACACATATATATATATACCCCTGTTCCACTGGCACATCCAAGCCGAGCCAGTGCGGGGGGAAGGGGGCCACTCACAAAAAGGGGTCGTTCTCCACTGGCTACTTTGCCGTGCCGAGCTAAAAACCAAACACCTCGCTTACGCCGGCCTGACGATGCGTTTGACCCTGGCTTGCGGTCAGCCAGGGCCAAGGGCCATTCAGCGCTGCGAGGATGCGGCATCAGCGCGTCATCCACGTGCGTCTCCACCCGTTCGTTTGCGTGCGACGTCGACGGCACGGCACGGCTCGGCTCGGCTTCTGCAGTGGAAAAGCAAGCTCGGCGCCTACTGACCCGTGCCGTGCTGGCTCGACCCGGTCCCGGCACGGCTCGGGTGTGCCGTGGAAAAGGAGGTATGAGATAGAGTAAGAGAGCACAGCAAGGTGTAATGCAGAGGAGGGCACTGGCACAGCAGATTGTTAGTCCATGCTTTCGTAGCTCTGTGTTTGTTTCATTCTGGGTATCATGTCCACTAGGAGCCTGTGGAAACACAAGAAAACACAAGAACAAACGTGCATTGAATATTTATATATCGTATTTACTGGATTATAATATGCTCATGCAAGTAACACACCCCCAAATGTGTGCCTGGTATATATAAAAAAAAAGCTTAATTTCACCCTGCGTGCCAGAAAATATATCTATCCGCTCCCGGCACACCACATCCAGTATATATCTCGCTATGGCTGTGGTTGCTACTACGACGCGCATCCCACCTCCTAGAGTCCACCAGCAACGACCCGGAAAATTAGTCGGCGAGAAGTTAAGTCATGCATCTTGCAAAAAGTCTCACTTGACACCGTAGAGCATGATAATGATGCCCATGAGGATGCCGATGAGACCGTCCATGTACCACACGGACGGGTTGTGCTTGAACACCTCGTCGCTGAAGAGAATGCTGAAGCCCATGATGCCTCCCACCAACGAGTTGAAGGCTGGCGCGTGGCGCACAACAGGAAGGACGCGGCGAGTTAGATGTCGCTACGGTAAGGATGCAATGAACTTCATTTTATAAAACGCAAATCAAACAACGACGACGTCTTCCGTTTGCGCCGTTCTTACAAGCGCGAGGCATTCCTGAAAGCGCTATGCTTTACGGACACGTTTAGTCAGCCAGTAGGGACGGGGGGCTACGTTGTTATGCTCTGTGGTTTTAGCCAATAAGCACTTTTATAAATCTTTAAATTTGGGCCATGACACCGGGCGACTCTTTTTGAATGACGTGACGGGGATCTTTGGCGTCCACTGCGGGGCGGATGGCCAGATTTTTGTTGTTTTTGCAGCCGCAGTATTAAACCAGGTCAGCCACAGGTCCACGAACCGCCAACTTCCACAAAGGGCAGCAAAACAAGCGACTGCCTGGCCACGTCACCACCCCCCTGTTGGTTTGCCATGCTCCGCTAACGAGTAAACATCGTCTGGGAGAGTGAATTCAACATCATCACCATCGCCGTCAGCCATGGTCAATCCGCCGTTCAATGAAGGCCTCCCTGAGCCATCGGCGCAATCTCTCACAATTCGCCCCCGGAGTGCGATCCATGTGCTGGTCACTGAAGCCTGAGGCCTACGTACATTTCTCTTGCCTCTTGCGAAGGGCAGGTGATGGTGTGGATACTTAATTATCATTAAACTTGTTCACCCGGGAAAGCTGCTATATGTACATTACTGTCATGTGTAATTCCAATTGAGTAATTTGCTGGTAATCTTTCAGCACTTGGACGGTTCCCCAATTCCAGTTGTGTGTGTGTGTTTACCTATGGGAGCACGGGTGGGGGGGGGGGATGGGTTGAAACATACAAACGCCACACAAAATTTGCGTCCTAGTCTGGAATCGAGCCTAGGCCCTTCTCGGTGCGAGCAAAGAGCCTGTTACCCGCTGCTATCGCCACCTTGCCACCTGACAGAGCGCTCGAGGTCTCACCATCGGTCATGAGTGCCCGGCTGGTGAGGGCCCTCGCCAGGATGAACTTCACCCCAGCCAGGCCGAGGCAGAGAACTCCGCTCAGCACCGACACGCTCAGCAGAAATGCATCCTGGGTGAACAACACAGATGAGGTACATCCTCATGATGATACAAATCATCACCGTCAAGCCCAGCGTCACCACTTTTACAAAAGCAAAAACGTCGCGACGTGCCGTTAATCAACCTCCCCCCCCTCCCCCCCGTGACCGACATGTGAGGGGAAGTCGTCATCCAGCAGTGGATTGAAAAAGGATGGTCATTTATTTATGTATTTCAAAGTGAACACAGAACTTGGAGTGCAGGTCTTGTTAATTAAGCGATCGACCGCACACAGCTGTCACATTTTCCTTGCTCAAAAACTGCGATTAATTATTCCCCTGCGATGGTGACCTACACCCGCATTGTTATTCCTATGGTGCAGACCTCCAACAACGTCCGGCGCGTGATTTATGTAAGTTCGGTGGAAGTTCGGCAGTGCCGTGGAATTGTGGCTCTTCTCCACTGTGCACCTCCGATTAGCACGGTCGGCTACGTATGGTGCACATGAAGTTCAACATCCATCAAAACATAGGCTGGTTGAGTCGCAAATTGTTATCATGAGTGGTCACACTCCCACCCACCTCACTTGTTCAAGTTAATTTTCCTTAACCAGGCGACAACTTAAGAGAGAGAACGAAGATGGCGACGATCGCCGCGTGCAAGCCCCAGTTGAGTGTCCCGACGGTTCAAGCGGCTCGCCGTGGGCGAAAACTTACCACTTTGGGCACGAGTTTGTGAGCAATGTCGTGCGAAGACTTCCCGATGATGCACATGGAGGAGAGCATGAAGACGCCGCCGAGCACGCAGCAGGCACTGAAACGAGCACACGCCGGGGAAACGGAGGGAACAACCGGTGTGAACGTCGCCGTTTCACGCGTCGTCGGCTTTCTCGTGTGTGTAACGTCGCAAGCTGTCCGTCCACCTGTCCGCTCCCCTCCGTCTGTGTGTCCCGTCCCATGTGTCCATTCCATGGCTCTGTTGGTTTCTCTCTAACAATTGTCGAGGGCTCAAGAAGCTGACTTTGTCCCTGTGAGTCGGCCTGTCAGTCACATCACTTGAGTAAATTTAATTCAATGTTGATTTGAAGCTTTCGTGACTGCAGGAATCCATACGCTTTGGTTCTTTCGGTAAAGTCACGTAGGTCATCATGACGGACGCTTGTGTTGCGCCCGAAACGTCGTGATTTATTTTATTTGATACCTACGTGACTTTGCCGAAAGAACCAATGAGTATACATTTGATTCATTACCATTATGAGTAATACTTCATCCTGACCAAAAGGAACCACGGACCTATGTCATGACCATACACATCTCATCCAAGTAAAAAAAAAAGTTATTGACAATGTTTTCACCGTGGTAACCATATGGGATTTTAGAAATGTCTAAGCTCTCTTTAAATTTATGGGGGTTTTTCGTGAAAGTTAAGAATAGTCACTTTGAAGGCATTTCAGGGGTGGGTTCTCTGATCGCTGCTCTGCAAGCGATCCGAATGGATACTTGGTCTCGTGACGCAACACCGATGGCAAAATTGGCAGGGGGTGGAGGGGGGGAGGTGGAGATATATATTTTTATAAGGACAAACGTTTAAAGTAACAAAAAGCGCGGTCGGCGTCGCGCGCATACGGCGGGCACTCACACGTATTCACGGTAGGCCGAGTGCACGGCCGCTGCGTTGTTGTAGCGCCAGGCCACGATCACGGACGACAGCACGTCCAGCGTGGCGTCCACCTGCACCGGACAATGAGCACAAAGGAACGGCGAGAGAACTCCTGTCGTCCAGACACTTCGATCGGGCGGTGTCCTGGAAACGAACGCCGGGCGATGAACCCACAAAACAGCGCCGTTGGTCCGCAAATGATGTACGCACTGTTCTGTTGAACTTCTTTCGCACCGATCGTGGCAAACCGTGCTTATCGGAAGTGCGGGGGAAGGACAGGCTGTTGTTGAGAGTAAATGGATTAAGTGGACAATGTGAGCAAATTACTAAGCTCACTTTGCCACCATCCACGTGGAGATGATACAGTGTGCATGTGCAGTACGTGCACAGACATTTGGCAATTCTGCCACTCGATCCTGGCTCAAGTGGAAATACGTGTCAACTCTCTCCATTGCAACTCTGACGGTGCGTTTGTTATGTGTTGTCTATTCTGCGCTAGTACATGTGTGAAAAAAATTACTTCATAGCTCATCAGATTCCTCCAGTATAAATAAATATTCTAATTTTGATATTCTATCAAGAATGTTGTCCTTCCCCCACACCTCCAATGAGCACGGTTGGCTACGTACGGTGCGAAAGAAGTTCAATATACATACTGCCAATAGACTAACAACACTACCCATAGACTCAGCAGGGCACCTCTGATAAGTACGGTTGGCTACGTACGTTGCCAAAAAAGTCCAAAATAAATGCATACAATGAAGAATTGTCCATTTGTTTTAATGAAGCCAACCGCCGGTTGTCTTTAAAATAATAACACTGTGGGTTTATCAGCCAGCCCCATGCAATGCAACATACAAAAAAGCCCTCTCACATCCGTAAGTAACATTGTGGCCCTGGCCCTCTCCGTCACATCACACAAATGGCTACGAAGAAAGGCCATCGCCCGAAATGTCACGACTTGTAAGTTTCCTCTTGAAACGGTGTTATCGATTAACGTTTGTCGAGTTATTTTTGTGCTCCGTCAATCACGCTTGTTGCGCCATTGCAACGGCGCCCAATGCGTTCCGTGGAATATTTGGGGGGCCTTTGAGGAGGAAGAGTAAACGATGTTGGTCAACGACGCCGTTCCAGGAGACGGCTCTCTCCAGTCGTGTGCCGTGGTTGAAGTGGTTCGTCTGCTCGGGAGTTTCGAAACGCCGATCCTGAACTAAACGCTGGCTCCCAAGGGGCCATGGATGAAGGGCAGGGTGGGTTGCCGACTAAGAGTTCCATCCCACGTTCACACCCTCGGGGCAACCGGATTAAGATTACCCGGTGGATTCTATGAGAGAACAGATGTGCAACTAACACAGTCCAATTCCCAAAGGCGCAGCCCTGCAAATTGCTGTGCTCACGCCACTGCTGGCGGAAGGGCCTCCACTCGAGGGAGGCTCTAGGGGAGCCCCTCTAGAAAGTATTTTGGTCGACTCTTCCACGCTAGCCAGATATCTTGCAAAAGGTGGGAATACCCACACTTTACCCCACCACACACGATCTGCTGTAACCCATGTGTGCTGCTGGGTGGACAGAGGCTGGGTCGGGTTCAAGAAACGTGCACCCATTGTTTTAATTGTCGCTCCGGGAGATAAAAAAAACTGGCCGGATTGCAAGTCCAGTGCGCTGCCTGTTACTTGCACCGTGGCAGCAGCCAGGGAATTAGTTTTAATTGCTAAATGTATCAATTGTTGCACGATAGATGTGAGCTCTAGTTTTATATGGTGGTTTATAGTGTATTGTGATATTACCTAACACTGCATTGTGGGTCAGCAAAGCATCGTTACTGTTATGTTTTTGCAGTTCGATAATGGTGTTAATTGTGAAAAAGAAATTATACTTACAGCAAAACCGAATGAAGATGGGCTGTAGCGCAGCATGGACACCGCTACATTGGGTGTCAGTGCGTTCATGTGTGTGTATTTGATTGTGTGCGTGTGAGCGTTTGCGTAAATGTGTGAACAAGTTGGTAGGCGTGTGATTGCATGTGAGAGTGTGTGCGTGTGTGAGTGTGTGTCAGTGCGCATACACGTGTATACGTGCATGTTAATTAAGTGTTTATGTGTGTGTGTGTATATATATGAGCGTATAAGTGCACGTGTATTTGTGCATGTATATGGGTGTGTGTATATGAGCATGTGTGTGTGATGTAGATGAAAGAGAGACAAGAGGGTAAGGTGAGAGGTTATTATATATAGTCACGTAACCCCCCCTCCCCCCACCCCCACGTACGGAATCATACGTCATTAATCAGTGCCTTTTACCCAAACATCAAACTGATAACCGCAAACATAACAGCTGCGTTGTCGCCCTCGGCGAATGTGCTGGGCGGCAGAGGGCAAGCGCAGCAAAAGAGACATCCATCACCGCACCGTACTCCTATGCCCCCGTGCATCTGCGTGGCCTGCCTTCATGAAGCTGCGCCGATCTCCAGCCAGATCACCACCGCGACACGCGCGGCATGGGTGGGGGGGGTGGGGGGGCGGCTCGACATTTCCACGTGATAAGCCACTTTGTTGAGCTGGCCATTCGTGGCCAGGTCGCTTCTTGAACAATAAGTTAATAAGCCAGTGGGGTTTGCCTGGTCGGGATGGTTTAGTGGTTGTATTTGTGTGTGTTTGGGCTATTTATTTTATTTTCCCTTTGGTTATTTCGGTAAAGTCACGTAGGTGAAAAATAAAATAAAGCTGATCAAATCACGACGTTTCCGAAGCAACACAAGCCTCCGTCATCAGGTGGGATAGTCACAGCAAATTACTTCTTGCTGTGACTATTCCACTTGATGATGGAGGGCTTGCGTTGCTTCCGAAACGTCGTGATTTGATTAACTTTATTTTATTTTTTTACCTACGTGACTTTACCGAAAGAACCACAAAGTATAGATCATTGCAGTCACGAACACTTCACATCTAGAATTGTTTTCTTTTCTTGTACTTTGCACTACTATCGTATTGTTTTGTTACATTGTTTGTTGTTGTAACGTTCTTACTCGCCCCTACCGGACATCTGTAAAAATAGCTTTGTAGCTCATCGGATTCCTCCAGTATAAATATTCTGATTCTGATCCAGCAGTGGATAATAAACGGGCCTTACATGCGCATGCACAATTCACACGATGGGCATGCCCGCTTGTGTGTACTGAATGTTGAAAGGGAGAGAGAATGAAGGAGAAACCAGCGGTGATGTGCACGGAGCTGAGTGTGTTTTCACAGGGGGTAGGGAGAGGGGCGGGGTTCAGAGTGGGAGTGGCCACACGCATCAGGAGGCCTGGAGCTGATTTAGAGGGATGGAAACGGGTCTACGGGAGTTTTAGGAATTCGTGAGTTAAAGGAGGCTTTTTCAAATATAGGGTGCTTAAAATGTTGTTAACACTTATATGGGACGATCTTTTGAATGGAAAAAGAACGGATAATACTACACTCTAACATGATAACAGGTGTATGTTAATAGCTGCAAAAAGTCAAATAGACTCCACTTGTTCGCAATCAGTCAACACACGCCTGGAATCTTCTCCAGGTGGTCTCTAGAGCCCGCAGGCAGCACGTTTATTGTGGTATTGTTGCAAATTCTCAGAAATGTTAAAACATTTTTTGAAGAACCCTGCACTAACGCGCGTCACCATGCGAGACGTCTGTGGACCACGAGCTCCGGTTGCACTCGAGAGGGAAACTCAACACGACGCAGGCTACACAGAGCCTTGGCTAATCCACTGCAGGATGAGGGCCTGCCCACGCCATTGCCGGTCGTGGGGATATTTGAACCACAGGTTGGTCAGTGGGGGAGGGGTGGGGGAGTTCGCTGAAGGCAAGGAGCATAGAAATAGAGCACAACAGATGATTTTGCTGCACTGGTTCCACTTGAGAGGGAAACTTTGTACGGCGTACATACGTAGAACTTATTTCGTGCCACGTGCGTAGCCAACCGCGCTAAATCGGTCGATGCTCGGTCGGGCGAAACTCACTGAATGCGAAGATGGAGAGGATGATGGTGACGGCGATGGAGGTCCATGACACCCAGAGGGCTTTCTTGCGCAGACTCTGCGCCTCGTGTGGTTTCAGCCGCTTGCTGCTCTCCAGCAGTCCTAAGTTGGGGGAAGGAAACGCGCGCTCAGCACAGTCTGCAATAACGAGACCGCCGTAATCGTAAGCCTGGTTATAAAGGCCCGCAAGGAATAGACATTGGTCAGGCCCTTTCTCATCTGTACCATATCATTCTCCTTTCTCATCTGTACCATCTCATTGTCCTTTCTTATCCACACCATCTCATTGTCCTTTCTTATCTGTACCATCTCATTGTCCTTTCTTATCCACATCATCTCATTGTCCTTTCTTATCTGTACCATCTCATTTTCCTTTCTTATCTACACCATCTCATTGTCCTTTCTCATCCATATCATCTCATTGTTCTTTTCTCATCCATATCATCTTATTCTCCTTTCTCATTTGTACCATCTCATTGTCCTTTCTTATCTGTACCATCTCATTGTTCTTTTGTCATCCGTACCATCTCATTTGTGTTGTTTCTTTTGCTCCGACCATTCACCTAAAGAAAAAATCACGAATCAAGAATGATTGTTCCGTACCCGCAGAATGTGAGACATACGTTGTGTTAGAATGTGATTGAATTTAACAGACGCATCGCTACCTGCGCAGTTATTCAGGCAACGCACGTCGAAATGATGATTATTTTACAATTTTCATTATTATGTTATTAAATAAGCGTTTGGGGAATCGGAACAGGGAGCTGGAAAATAAAATCCCGGGTTTGAATCCAGGTTTTCTGCCACCACATGATGAGATGCAAATAACTTAAACACATTCGTAAATAACACTCTGGCTATCCAAGGAAAACAATATATAATTGTTGATGTTTGGGTAATGGCCCTACTTCACAGCACATAAATGAATGACAAATCTGTTGTCTGGGTCAATGACAAATATTGAGCACTCGCACACTAGGAGCCGAATCTCCGAGGAAAAATCTTTCACTGCACCCCAGACCGCTATAAATAGCCACCCAGTCGGTGCCATTTCACACCTTTTCTTCCAACGTCAGACGTGCACCTTACCTGACTATGTCGCACGGATGAGAAACATGGACAAATGGACGAAGACAATGAAGCGAGAGTTGGAAAGTGTGCGCGCAGAAGCGTGCACAGATGCACAATTGGAGTTGCACTGAGACACAGGAAGACGTGAATCGAGAGAAAATGTAGGTTGAAAATGCCGCATTGCCCGTTTATGAAATAATAATAATACTTTCTCACAACGCTGTACAACAATCATGAAGTGGGCTTGGCCAGGCCACATCATTTAGAAGGGACGATGGCCAGTGGGTCGAGACCAATGACGGAATAGCGGTCAAAGGAGAGAGCACGCCCGAGAGAGGACGTAAACAATGTAGATGCAGTGATGAACATAGCTCGTGTGTGAGGACACTAGATTAATCGCTGCATCGAGAGACCGTGATCGTTGACAACGGCTTGGAGAGGCCTTCATCCAGCAGTCGGTAGACCATGGCTGTTAAGAATGATGATGGTTCAAATATTAAAATGACAACCGTGTTAATCAAATGAACAATGAGGCGATGGCAGAAGTCAGCCAACCCATAAAGTGGTACATATTTTATCCACACCATCTCATTCTCCCCGGGGCGCGGGAGGGGCAGGGTAGAATGTGGGAGGGATGATAGGCTGGAGTATTTGAGCACCTGTCAGCATTTGATCCTTAAACCTTCCTCGTGCCAATCAATCGTTCTGACCGCAGCTTATTCATTCCATCACTTACTTTATTATTGCACTCAACCGTAAATAAATATCACCCTCGTTTAAGCGCACCATCAGCTGTGCTACAAATTAACAGAGGCTGGAATTTATTTTATTTTATATCTACATGACTTTACCGAAAGAACCAAAGAGTACACACCGGCTAGATTTATGCGTAAACAAAACAACGGACCACACTGGATAGTAGACCACTGTAGTCTTAGGCTCATTCAACAGAGGGGGGATTGCAAAACTACACAAACTCTCTCCCGAAGGCCCTCTCGTAGCGAACAGACCTCGACATTGGCATTTAGCTTCTGAACATATTGCCATCATACTCAAGAATGGAATGCAATTATAATGATGGGTTATTTGAACATTTTTCTCGTAAGGAACTTAAATCGAGCTGGTATTTGGCAAATCCCTACGTTTTTTTTTTCATGAATCCGAGGTCCACTGAGCTACTTGGGGGCACTGAGCGTTTTGCAGCAACACCACCAGTTGTGCTGCCTGCACACTCGATAAACTCTGCCACTTATGGGAGACGGAGTGGTAGCCCCCCCCCCCCCCCGCAACTATCTGTCTGATAGGTTATCGTCTCATCGACCCTTGGCACTTAACGCTGGAGATATTTTCCCCCACAAAAGGGTCGAAGGTCGGCAGGTCACGTGTGCCTGCCGTGAACGTATGCTGTGGCCCGTTTGTCAACCCATTGCTGGATGAGGGCTTAGCCCAAGCCGTGCAGATTGTGGGAGGTTATTTGACCGCGCGGCGGCATAAAAGTACAGCGGAACTATCTATTTTACTGCATTGCCCACACAGCTCTGCAGCCTGTAACACCTGGTATGCATTGTGGTCGCCCAATCCAAGCACTATCCGGGCTCCGGTTCACTTAGCTTCCGAGATCTGATGAGTTTTGGCACACCGTGCGTTATTTGGTCATCGTCATAGCACCATATGTATATATAAAATGAACGTACGTCATATAAATGCATCTATATTTCAGTGGGAGGGAGCCTTGACATTTCGCATGCATTTTGTAATTTACACTTGAGGAGCTGTCCGCGTCACTGAGATGGCTTTCTAATGTCCAAATTGCCACCCACCTCTGCTCTCCAGTGCGATTGCTCCATCGCCACGCCATACGAGGCATTGCCGTTTAGCGCGCGTCTGCATTTTGCATTGGGGTGGGGGGGGGGATGTATTTCTTTTTCGGAATGCAGGATTTGTTTTGCGCGTCACGGGCGGATTTCTTGGGGAGATCGCTCGAATCAATCTGGCGGCTCAACGAGCCATGCGACGTTAAATGAGCAAGTTGTTTTTTTTTTCTCTACAGACACGGATGGCCACCCTCTTAGCAGCGGCGACAGCAACAAGGCCAGCCCAGCTGCCTCCCACCCCCACCACCACCACCACCCCCAACCATCGCCGTCACATATGGGGCCATCTCTCTGGAGCAGTCGCGTTGTCTCCCGATGGGAATTAGACAACGCTGCCCACCTCCCCTTGCTGTACGCTTTGCAAGCGAATTACGCACCACCGCTGTACGCGTTACAAGGCAGGGATGAACATTGAGGCTAAGCGTTGCGCTTCGAACGCGATCAAATAAACTAAAGACTGAGATTCGTTGTGGGTTAGTGTCCACGGATAACGTGATGTGCGACACGCTCGCGCGTGTGCCACTGCGTGCGCACGCAAGCACGTTAAAAATGCATGGAAATTTGCGATGACAAAAAGCCTCATTGTTTTATGCAGATATGTATAAAAACACGCGCGCACACACACACACGTTCGTCAAAAACACCGTGGCCTTAAATTGGAACGCAAATATAATAGGCGACGTTGCGTGCAATGGCTCTTCTTCACAGCACATGGAACATGTTGTTGCTGTTGTTGTTATCTGTGCTTGTGCACCACTGCCAACGCAGCATCACCAAATAACACGGAGGTTGTGTGTACACGCATTTCAAGCAGACGTGTACACACGTACATATCGACACGTACTTATTTTACATAAAACAAAGGCCGCCCCGTATCGCCTTTAACGGACTGCTGGGGCAAGTGCTGTTAGCGAGCACCTGTGAAGGCCGGGAACCGCACACGTGGGAGTGGGCAGCAACACACCCGGCCGCCTTTGTCTCCATAGTGGCGATGTTTACACACCGCTCGAAGTGTTCATTTGAAGCTGAATCGACATAGGGGAGACCCAGGACTGGTTCAAATATCCGTCCCCGGGAATGGAACTCAGATGGCCGGGTTCGTAGCGCAGCGCACTAACCACCACTACGCCACCGCTCCCCCACACTCCCTTCATTACACGCACATCCACCCACCCCACACACAGCCATGAACACACACACACTGTATACACGTCCACCATCTACAAGGCGAATTCCCCTGTGGTCCACGGCGCCCACACAACCCCACCACCACCAACCTCCCAACCGGTCTACACCGGCACGCCTCCCTTCCCTCCATCCCTGCAGCAGCAGCTGCTGCAGCATCACCACCACCACTACCACCAGAAGCGGCAACCCAGAGCGACCTGGATCGCATGCTTATTGCTATGCAGTCAATAGAGATAGTTGTGCGCTGTCCGTCTTGAATGTCGCGTACGATAATGCATGCAACATAATGGAAGTTGCCTAACCAAGGCAGTGGAGTGCCTCGATTGAAACTGGATCTGTGCACGTGACTCGAGAGTTAACAAGTCCGCGTCTCGCGCTCAAATTAACACTGAAGCTGGTAACTCATTCGACCGTTTACAGCACAGATAAATTAACAAAGAACACTTTCACTCCTAACCGCACCAGATTACTTTGTTTTTTTATAGATACTACACGCTTACAAATAATAATAATAATCTCCCCTTGAATGCAAAAACCTGGCAGGACCCTCCTGAAAAAAGAGTCATGGGATTCAGTTATGCTTTCCTGAATAAACAACTATAATTAAGAAGAAACAAAAAATAAACCTTATTCTGGCTGCCTTAGCAATGGACATTTCTAAGATTGACCATACCAATCCTAAAGGTGCCTCGGTCTGGCCCTTCTGGGCATCAGGCATTGACAATCAACCCCTCAAATATTAATGAGGGCCTCAGTTTTGGCCGTCGGGGCTTGGTAAATTTACCATAAACGCTGAACATTCGAATGGCACTTTTATCCCGGTGGCTGAAACCCGGTCCGGTGACATTAACAGCAACGAATTCTGAAAGGTGCCTTGGTCTGGATCTCTCAGTTTCTGTGGTGTTATCAAGAAATCCACATAATCCTACATATGCCGCACACTATATTATCCGCAACGCTACCAGGAATGATTCGTTATCCCGCACAGCAATCCCGACGGAACGCACTCGTCCGTCAACAACACTGCAGCCTTAAAAATGAAACAAAAACATGTTCTGTAATATGCAGCGTTTCAAGCGATGGGCCCATCGCGAGGCCAGATTAAGCGTGGGTAAGAGGTGGAGGACTGCACCTTCTTACACGATGGCGCTCGATAATCATTCAATGTTGTCTTCTAATAATGCAAAGTAACCGATCCTTACAGATTGGATGTGTGCACTTCAAGGCGCGTTGCTAAGCGACGGGATGCTCTGCGTAATTTCTGCGTTCAACTGTTCACCCACAACACGTGAACAAGCTCACTCGACAACCACACAGCCTTAAAATAATAAAAAAATACACGTGTAGAAAATCGGCGACGTTTCGGGCAACAGGCCTCCTTCGTAGCACACGAGTGTGGTTCGTTTTTCTTTGGTCCGTTAAGAGTGCTTTGCTGGGTGCGCCACTGCCAACGGAGCACTATCGAATCATTAACATCCTAAATCTTCCTAAATGTTCTTGTAGGACTACAGAGCCAGCAATTTGGCAGCGATATTCCAGCTCGCGCGGGGGGCTTCGTTTAATGTATTGTGAGCACCGACTGGAGCAGGCACGCGACCCGCAGTCACAGCCGTAATTACGCGTATACTTGATGCGGTGTGCCGGGTACACGTATGGTTTATAAGCCTCCGAGGTCTACGGTTATAACCAGAGCTGTGAGAAATACAGATTTTTTTTGTTAGTATTTGGGCCCACGCCAATTACATGCGGTGGAGGTTTGATTGGTTTCACTCGCATGGCTGGTTGTCTAAGAGTTATACTACGCGGCTTCGCGTCTCATGATAAAAAAAAAACACTCGCACGTATACGATTTCCCATCGTCAGTGAACCAAGTAATTTGCCTCCAGAGGAGTGTGATGCTAAATCCGATAGAAAGGGAGGCAAATGTTACCGAGTAGTGTAACGTTAACTTGGGTACAACAAACTAGGTGCATGCATTATACATATCCTGGGTCGTCATAGCACAGTCTCATACCTGTCAACCCCTTATCAGTTCCCTTACCTTATTACAGACCTTCTTGATCACCCCGTGCCCCTTATAAATCTCAACGTTCATCCGACAAAGTCCCGTCACAAGGGAGAAACACAAACAAATAGACAATATATGTGTTGCCCGTATTGAAACGGCTGTACGCCGTACGGACCTGAAAACTCAATTTCCCTGGTACAAGAACACGGGCAAAAACCGTATGGGTTGACACGGTATGATGCAGTCTATAGCAGTCTGTTCGCATAATCGGAGTCAATAAATGCCCAATTAACACCTTCCATTGTCAGAGGCTGGTTCCGTGGATACAGTGGTCAGCGCACTGCACCCCGGCCACCCGAGTTCGATTCCCGTCCATGGGTGACATCAGGCGCGCGAGTGAAATGCTTCCTCCACCACTGGCTATCGTGGTAAAGAATGGTTAAAAAAACCCATCACCAACACGGCGTGGGGAAGCCTTCACCCAGCAGTGGATTGATGAACTAGATTATTATTATTTCATGTTATGCCTGTGCGTTTATACATTTGTTTACGTGCTAGATTACAACTGAATATGATGGGCATCAAACGACAACAAATTGTATTCATAGGCGAACGATAAACATTAAAAAAACACTAATGTGATTTGAATAATAAATATTGGCGATGTTTGATGTCATGCAAGCGTAGGAATGTAATATTCATGAAATGTCAACTGTTGTACACGTATAAAGGTCTAAACATCAGCTCTCTTGGCCCAGATTATATTTCTGTATATGTACACCCCAAGCAAATCTATTGTTAAGACCGTAAGAACAACACGCACAATTGATTTTAACCCCAAAATGTTGCATTGTATTTGCACTAAGAATTGTATTTTTTTAAAGTACACACACACACATTGACGAAGATCATTCGACTGTCGTTTCGAGTTGTGTCCGCGAGCGCCTATTAAGTCCATCACGTCGGTTCGATGGTGTGGCCGGAACCACGCCTAGGACGCCGCCTTTGTCTCTCCGGCGCTTCTGTTTACATTACGCGGTAAGCAGACCGACTCATTTAAGGCCGAAGTCGGGCCAGGGAGGGCCCAGAACAGATGCAGATATCCACTGCTTGAATGAAGGCATCTCCGCGCCTCGGCACGGTCGTGGGGGTCGTTTTGACCATACTTCACCACGCTGGTGAGTTGGTCATCTTAGCCGCGATCGCCGCGAATCGAACACAAGAGACCGCCAGCCGGCGGTCGTAGCGCAGTGCGCTAACCGCTACGCCACCACTCCAACCAAAACACAACACACACATACAACACGTCCAGCTAAGATTCAAGAACACAAACACAATCACCTTTCTGGTCCCACGTCTGGGCGTTTTCCATCGTCATCACGGACACTTCTGTGTCGCAGAGTTCTCTGGACGTCTCGTCAGTCCTCCTCGCTTGCCCATCCACCTCGTCCCACGAACCATCGCCGCCGCCCGCCGTAGTGGTGATGATGTTCGTGGTGGACACGTGGAGGTCACCATCTCCGCCCGCTGGCTTCTTTGAACTGCCGCCACCACCACCACTACCAGCCACTGCGGTCTTCAACCAGTCTGCCGGACTGGGTCCTCCTTCCTTGCCCCACGACTCCACGGGGATGGAGGCGGAGTGGCAGTCTTTCTCCCTGCCCGGGCGCTGGGTTATCGTCGGCTCATCAGTTGACGACATGATTCCTCTTTCCGGTAAAAGACGACGACGATGTCTGTCTGGAGATCGTGTCAACGGATCAAGTCACGCACGCACAACACCTGCACCGCGTCGCCAGTGACGCTCGTGTATGGCAAAGCTCTCCGATGCCCGCTTAATTGCTATAGGATCTGCCACGCGAGCCTAATTGCTCGCCCTATCGTTCTGGTTATCTGCACAAGGGCGGGTGGGAGTGTGCTCGGTTTTTTTTACACGCTTGCCTCCTTTATATAGATGCGCGCGTGCGTGTGTGTGTGTGCGCGTGCGTGCGCGCGTGTGTGCGTGCGTGTGTGTGCGACTCAGCCTCAAATGAGTACCTGGTGCGGTGTGTAAACATCGTCACTAGGGAGACAAAGGCGGTCGGGCGTGGTGCTGACCACCCACCCCCTCGTGTACCGTTCCGGCCTTCATAGGTGCTCGCTAACAGCACTTGCCCCTACAGTCTGGTAAGGCTATACGGGGGATATTTGTCATTGTGTGTGTATGTACGTGTGTGTGTGTGCGCGCGCCATGTGATGCGACACGATTCTTGCGGTTCTCGTACAAGATTATTGAACCGGATTAGTCGTGAAATATCGTCGAAAAAGCGTGGAAATTAAGAACGTTACCGTCAGCAGCAGCGGCAGCAGCAAGCCGTGGTCAATCCACTGCTGGATGAAGGCCGGTCTGGACCGATGCCGCACGCGTGCGATTACAGGGAGACGTGGTAAAGGTGACCACTCGTCAGCAGTTTTGAACGAGATTCGGTTTTTTTTTTACTGCTGTGGAAAGTGGGCTTGGTGGACACGACTACTTTTGACGAAATAAATAATATACGAGTTTATGTTGTTGTTAAATATCGTGACGTTAAAATTCTCGTTGACAGAATTTCCCGCACGCGTGTCCACCGAAAGCCCTGAAAGTGTGTTGTTTCGTGGTGGGTACATTCCGCCACCAAACGTGCCCCCCCCACGCCCCCCACCCCCGAGTTCGATTCCCGGCCCTGGCTGACGTTAATCACGGTCCTTATCCTAACCGAGATCGACTTAGGGGGCCGTCCATAAATGACGTCACGCGATTTTGGACGATTTTTGACCCCCCCCACCCCCCTCGTCACACAACGTCACAAAAAGTCAGACCCCCCCCCCTCAAATATGACGTCACAAAGCTCTACCCCTCCCCCCCCCCAAAAAAAATATAAAAACACATCAAATCGCTTTAAACTATTGTCATTGTAGTGTTTGTTTAAAGTGGCGCTGCACACTGATGTTGTAAGAGAAAACATTTATTAAAAAAGTATATTTAATAAAGTAGAACGTGTTGTCTGTATTTATTAAATTTGCGCATTTTGATGTGACGTCACATTTGTCAAACCCCACTCCCCCTCGTCACACATCGTCACAAATGTCTGACCCCCCCCCCCCCCCCAGGTGCGTGACGTCATTTATGGACGGCCCCTTATCGCGTACATGAGGGACCATGTCCCGGCTTCAATAGGTGCTCGCGAATATCGCTTTGCCCCCCCCCCCCACCCCCCAACAGTCTAGGGCTATGGATAGGTTGTTGTGGTTGTTGTCTTTGAACACGAGAAAGTAGTGTGGTTAGAACCACGCCCGGACGCCTTTGTCTCCCCCATTGGCGACGTTCACACACCGTACCAGGTACTCGTTTAAATGCCGAGTCGTGTGGGTGCCGGGAAGGATGTCCCGGTCGGACCGGTTCAGATAGTCAACAATTGAACTCGATGTAGCCAAGTTCGAATCGCAGCGCGCTCACCGCTACACGACTGCTCCCCACATTCAAAGACATGTGCACGTACACGTGCAATGATTAAAACGTAGCCGATATACAGGACATATATATACACACACACGTGCATAAAGACAAACACCAACGAATTTCATAGGCACGTAACGACGACTTTGTAGATCTATAATCGTCTGCACCGCTCACAATAACAACGCGCATGTAATAGCGCTCATATGAATCGACGATTTATTGCGAATGCAAATTAGATGCAAATGTGACGATCATTCAAACATTGCATTTACACAGAGTGAATTGGCGGCATGTACTAGCGCAGAATACACAAGGCATAACAAACGAGATAAAAAAAATAAACGAAACGATTTTGAATCGAATGGGAATCACTGAATCGTGACGACGTAAGATATTTGAAGGGACGTGAAATCCTAACATAAAGCATCCACGATAGTATGGTGAAATAAAGTCTATGAATGAATTAATTAAGAATTATTTAAATATCCATCCGCGACTGCGGCTACCACACCCCCCCCCTCCCCCACGCACGTCTCAACCTCCATACACAGCGCAAATCAAAGGGCGTCGCTGCGTTGTGATTTAATCAGCGCTTGTGAATCTTTAAGTCGGAACAATCCGGAACGCCGAGCTATTTCAGCACCACAGTAACAACAATGGCCATTCCATGCGCCGGATTTCTAGTTATTTTTTTTTTATAGAAAATGTGCGCGCGCTGTTGTAGGAATATAGGGTACAATAATATAGGCTAAAAGCCAACCTTATAGCAGCGTTCCGGAAGAAAAAAAACATCAAGTGAGAAATTAACCCCTGAATATAATCAATCGGTTGTTAAATACCCTAAGTAGTGGCTGCGAGCTTGGGGTATATATAACACATAATTGATACTCATAGCAATTGATTACCAATTGGGGTGGCCAATTTTTTTAATTCACAGATCAGGCCAATCGCGTACATATTTTCAACGTGGTTCCACTTTCGTCCATTTCGAGCCTTGTAGGCCTTTTAATCAATATAATCAGGATTTAATTTCTCACTATTTCCGGGTCGCTGGTATACAAGAGTAGGCGCGTGACTATCAGCCACAGCCAAGGTGTGTATACTGGATGTTATGTACCGGGAGCTGATTTGTTTTGATTCATTTACTGGTTTCTGACCCGGACAGATTCGGCAGAAATGACTCCCATGAATATCGTCGATATATATTTTAGTCTGCTCAATATATGCACTGTATGAATAAAACATTATGCTGACGTCGCAGGACTGTGAAGAATTGGGATGGGCTGGAGAGGCTTTCATCCAGCAGTGGATCGATCGTGACTGATAATTATACAGCAATTATGGCATAATACTGAATGCCACGTAGGGTATATATTGTATGAATACGTGTAAGGATTAATAGCTTCATTGCTAATGGGATATTATTGGGGCGGGGGGAGAGGCATCCCGGATATCGGTGGGAGAGGGGGAGTTATTTTTTCCGGAGCTCAGCCCCGGATAGCTCTGGCTGAAGTGAATCCCTGCATAGACTGTATGAATGTACCCACGTGTTCAGAACCCTCCACCTCCTACGCAAATCCACATTTCTTTTACTCGCTGTGTGACCTTGCGCCTTTGTTCTTATCGAGCGAGGGTGTTAAGAGACGAAGTACAAACCTGGCAATCCTGCAGCGTGTTGAACAAGCCTGACTGCTGATGAGACCCAGCGGGTCGAGACCGTCGGCTACGACTGGTCTGGCTGATGGCTAACGCAGCGTTCTTCATTTCAAGGCCCGCGGGCCTCGACAATACACAACGTGTGAAAGCACCCCCATCATCATCATCATTCTGCTACTCGCACTCATGATGTCTTATCGGCGAAAGTGCCCCCCCCCCCGCCCCACTCTGAAAATTAGTGAAGAACAATGGGCGAAAGCACACCTTCATTTACGCGTGTAGACAAAGAACGGAGTGCTGATATTATTTAAGCAATAGCACTGGCTCAGCAATCGCAATATCCTCTCTTCAGCCATATTCGGTTACGTCAACAACTCCACGCCAGATTGCTGGACCAAATTAATAATTCACGAACGCCATCCATCATCAGTGGCTTTTTTTAGAATGTGAAATCAAGTACATTTGGGTTAAAATTAGCCAACCCATGTGAACTCATCTTATTAATAAGGGGCCGTATATTATTACTGTCCGATTGTTATTCACGATTTTGTAGTAATTTACAGTCCTATATAAATATACAGTATGTACAAATTAAAATTGTACAGTACTTAATGGCATTGAGTACTGTATTGCTTGCGCGTATAATAGTGGCAAAGAGCTTAATACATAATAATTCACAGCTCTTTTTAAATCCGCTGTTGGATGAAAGTCATCCCCTATGCCGTATCCGCCACGGAGGAGAGGTGGGGGCTATGACCATACTTCACCACGGTGGTCACAATGGGTTGGTTGGTGGAAAGGGGAGCTCCAGGCCAGGTCCCATATATCATTCGCCACTGATGTTAGCCGTGGCCGGAAAACGAACTGAGGTCGTAGGGTTAATCGTGTCGTCTGAAAACCATCGAGCCACCGCTACCTTTATTGATATTTGTATGTGTCTATTTTATTGACCCACGATATGTAAACTATGTAACAGTATTACAGAAGGAGTCAATCAACGTGTCATACGCCAGTGAACAATTAAACATTGCAATTATTTTTCACATTTCAATGCTGTCAAAAGTCAGCCGCACTTGAAAGTACGTTCTTGATAACGTATTTGGTACTTTAAATATTTGTATAATAGCACTGTTTGTCTTGGGATATAATCATCATCATGTTAATCAGCCATTGTTGATCAACTGCTGGATGAAGACATCACCACGGCGTCGCTATCTGTCAATCCATCTCACCCCGGCACACACGAGCTGAAATCAACGCTCCATCTTCTCAGCTGTTGTCCCCTTGAACGCGGTATCTCCCCTAGCTGTCACAGACTGGAGATTAGCACACACACGTTACACTATTACAATAAACGGCGCAGTAGCAGTCTATACTATACACTGTGGAAATGTTATTGTATACGCCATCCTCAGCCAATTGTACACTATGTGCATATTTCTGTTGTGTATGATATTGCCAGTCTCTGCTATAATGTTGTTCTTGCTATTCCCCGTCTCTTTTACCCTATGTACATGTTATTTGTATATGCTTTTCCGTGCATGTAGCTATTCCCAGTGTGTGGTAGGCCTATTTGCGTGTATTTCAGCTCTTGTGTATGCTGTTATCAGCCCATGCGTATCGCGCGTTCAGTAGCGTTTCATTTCAGTTTGATCCGTCCGAGGCTGAGCTCCGGAAAATCCCCTCCCCACCCACGCTGCGATTCGGGGGGAGGGGTGGTTTGGGTGGTGGGGGGGAAGATGGAAAACGAATTCGTGAGAAATGAATCCTTGCGTGTGTACGCATACTTTCACTTTAGAGTGTAAACGTTATTCTCAGTCCATGGCTATATTATTCGTCTCGC